ACCAAAGCGCAAGGTGCTATCTTTAACAATTTTCTCTTTTTCAATTTCGGCAGAAATGGCAGGAGTTATCCAGCAACTGAAATATTCCTAAATGCAGTTGTTACTCGCTCTTAATAATATAACCTTATCCCAAAACTCGTCGTCCTTATCGGAACAACTCATGAGATCCGCGTGATGCCTTCTGCCGCATGTTGCATGATTCCCATTTAAACATTTTATCCATTTTCAATGGGTTTCAGGGTAAGCAAACTGTAAAACATCAATTATTTACTTTTCGATTGCCTCGCAAAAGTCCATCAATAAACATTAAAAACTTAACTTGGAGCCAGCAATTTGAAGACTTGTTAAAAATGTGCGTTAAGATTGATGACGGCGCAACTTGTAAGTGGAAGAAAGAATATAGATTTTTAGCAACAAATGGATTAGCTGCAGCAAGTGAAAAACTTTTATCGTAAGTAACCACAGTCTGTAAGTACTTTAATGGCCATTTTATAAGCGCATTAATTAACTTTACAAATCCCTGGCCATGGCCAAGCTTTCTTCCTGTTGCAGCTAATTACTCTAAGAACGTAATATTTCCAACAGTTAATTAGGCTTTTCGATTTTTGATTTCAATTCGCCTGCAAGTAAAATAGGCTACACTTTTTGCAACTTCAAAGGCGTCTCATATGGAGTCTGTCGACGACACAGCAGCCAAATGAAGAGGGTCGTTTGTCAATTTTCCATTTAACAATTTAATTAATTTGCATGCAAGCGGCATTTAACACTATTCTGTTAATTAACATGTATCTATCGCTGAGCAAATCCCTAAAAATACACTAACAGAAATAGAGATGGGATGTTGTCTGTTAAGTCTTCAGCGTTAGGTTAATGTAAAATAACATAGACTGTTATTTTAAACATTTTTTATGTTATGAAACACATCAGTTAAGTAAACATTACACTATTATACTTTGTTATTTTATTCATTTTTATTTTATTGTTGGCTTGAGCTACAATTTTAATTAACAGCTGCAGTCTCTTAGGCATCTACCTAGAGCATCTAGGGCATATAAAGATGAGTTTGAGTTGGCTTGAGCTCAACAAAACAAACTACGATTACTGCGAACTGTAAGGATTTCATTTACAGCGAGCCCGTTGCAGCATTGGCAAAGACTTGAAGTTTGTGGAAAAGTTTTTTTACCAAGTCGCAGGGACTACTAACTTTTTAAGTAAGTAGCATTCCTTCTTATAAAATGTCCTAGTTGGTAAATTAGCTAACTAAACTACATCCGTGCTTTATTAAACTGGACCTGAAAATGGTAATATATGATGCTCAGACTAGCTGACGATATGATTTTACTTACAAGGCATATACCATACACCCCCACATCTGGGCTAGGGTATTAATTATTCGGCAGAGACTTCAAAGTGAATCTCTAACTACTTTAACATGTTTCTTTTGGCTATAATTGCAAAGCTGATATGTCAAATATGCTTTAATGGAAAGTATAGCATATAAGTTTCTGTCAACTACAGACACACAAAAATACACACACATATAAATGTGTGTGTGTGTGTGTGTGTGTGTGGGTGGTTGTGGGCGGATTGTGTATATTTTTTATGTGTGCCTGCGGCTTTGTGTGAAACAAAAGACCTAATTAAGATTCATTTGAACATATGCCCAAGGCATACACCCACCCGAAAACACACACACACACACCCACGCAAACACGCACACACACGCACATAAATACGTATAATTAGCTGACGCCGCCTAAAAGTATGCAACATTCTGTTTGACTTGTGATTAACAGCCGCATTTAAAGGCCGGATGTCGGCCGCGGCGGAAGTGCGTATATGTGTGTGTGTGGGATACGCCATTTTGGGGCAACATTCGTATGACAAGCCTTTTAATGGCAACAAGACAAACACACACACACACAGTGTGATTTGCATTAATGATATGCAAATGATTTGTTTATCTTTTTATGTTGCGACAACACTCGCATCTTTTATTGAAAAGTTTCTCATGCCGAAACAAATGAGCAAATAATCAGCAAATAAGTAGCTGGCGCCAAATACATTGATAACAAATAAGAAATAAGCAGATACCGTTGTTGCGTCTCCATAAGATGTTAATCAAAGGCGCACTTTTTTCATATCCCATTCCGACTCTTGTCTCTTGGCCTAATAAATATGTACGAATGCCATTTTTGTTTGGTTCAGGTTTATTTTTGGGGGAATATCCACGCCCCAAAAAAGAATTCCACATGACTGTCAGGACTGTCTCAGGCACAAGCACAACTGACGTCTGAGCTGACGCACACAACGACGCGCTTGTTTATTATTGTAGGATGTTTGGCTTGGCTCACATCAGCGAACTGGAAGGAATGCGCATTGACAGCGACAGTTGCCACTGTTGCCAGCTGCCTGGCGCTGGGACCTGGACCAAAACGGGATACGCAATCTGAGGCATCCACAAGCTCGGCGCTGACGTGCCCCGCCAGACATTTGCATTGTTTTATTTACATACTTTGGCATCCAGTTTGGCCGCGCCTTCACATCGATGAGCATGTTGCCGATAGTGGGGAGCTTGGCAGTGGCAGAATGTGAATGTGCTCCATCCTGCCTCCTGGCATTGGCATTGGCATTGGCATGCATAATATCTATCAGCAGCTAAGGCTAAGCAGCAACTTGAGCATTTAAGGCTGACATGAGCGAAACTCTCGCTTCGTTCCGGGCTGTCTGGTGTTATCATAATCATTATTATCATTATTATTATTATACGTATTATTATAACATTGTGTTCCTTGAACTTAATTCGAAAACCCAAAATATGCAAAACGAATTCAGCTTTTGATGGCGCATAATTTGTTTATCTTTAATTTAAATTAAGTTCGCCGCATTCAATATTCAATGCCATTTCGCAGAGCTCTTCCCCTCCTCTTCCTCTCTCTCTCTCTCCCATTCTATATTGGGATTATATTCACTGATATGGGTTTATTTCGTAGTTCAAATACATTTGTTGCCATGTGTACAATGTCAGAGCACGTACATTCTCGTAGTTCTCGGAAGCACAATTATTGATTGCCATTGAATGATTTCTTTTTGTATTTATCTAAGCTAAGACCAAAATTCGCTGTAATTTGTTTTCTCTAGTTCTGAATATTTTGTAACAAACAATAAACAACTAAAAATATATTATGAATACAGCTCAAATTCAACTAAAACTATAAGAATTTAGTAGGAATTCAAACTCAAAAGGCAGAAGGACTTTTTATACGCTTCAGAAAAATCTCAATATCTGTGCAATGAAAGGCGAAACCTTTTTATGCCAACTGTCTCAAAAACTCAAAGAAATACAGATCTGTGCAGAATCTGTGATGGGGTTCAGAAGGCATCGGACCTTCTTGTATACAAAAGCCCATAAAAACAAGAGCCCTCTCCTCAATTCCACACAAATATAATAAAATACAAATATTTAATAATAATAATGCATTAATAATAATAATAATGACAGTAAGAATAAATATAAAATATACTAAAAATATTACAATTAAAATAATTAATAAAACACATCACTTACCCCATTTGGCTTGGAGACTTTCCTCTCCTCTTTCTACAAATGCCTCCAAGAATCTTCTACTATGAGAGTTTCGAGCTCAATCGCCTCCTACTTATTTACTTATTCCTGTGCCCAAAGAGTCCATCTACACTTAACACTTGGTTCACTTAACCCTTGGTTTTCCCATGAGACAAAGTAAAGTTTTCCTACACTTACATTTCGAGTTTTCCTTAACACTTTCCATTTGTTGTACATTTAAAGTTCTCCATTTGAGTATTAGTTAGACGCATGTCCTTAATCTAATCTAATCTTCTAGCGGAATTTTCACTTTAAACAAAGCATCGAAATATGTTTTGGCTGAAAATATTGTAAATTGTAAATAAACGCTAGTTAAGTTTTTAATATTGTATATTTTTACACATTTAGGAATAACATTTGAGAGTAGTTCAAGGGAGCTGCTCTCTCAGTATGCACATAAATGTATATAAGTATGTTTATATATATATATATCTATATGTATATATATATATATATATATATTATAGTAGTAAATAGTCGTATTATGTTTTAGAAATGTTCTTTTCGCAATGATTGTGTAAAATGGAGAGAACATGTAGTCAAAGTTGAATTGCTTAAATTTTAGTTTAACCACGTATTTTCATATCACACACACACACACACACACACACACACACATATGCAAACTAAATAAAGTACAATAGAAATATGTTTCAATTTCTTGGAACTTTATCAACATAAGGTTATCAAATGTTTCAAACAAAGGCAACGCATTTATTAACACAAAAACATATCGTAAACAACAAATAGATATATGCGATTATTTCAAATATATATATTCACAGCGTGTGTGTGCACGTGTGTGTGTGTGTGTGTGTGCGTAATTATTACGCTTTATTCATTCTGTGAGGGCATAAAAAACGCACAATGCAAATAGCTGTTCAAACAGTCTCGAAACGCAAATCGAAATTAAAATTCCATTTCAACAATATAAAAAAAATATATATAATAAAATAGAAGCGCATAACAAACAATCGCAACGCATCAGAACTCCATATATCATCCATGTCTTTGGGCAGCAAATAAAGGCCGACAATTTGCCCGGGGCCGAAATTTAAATATATAAAAAATAGAAAATCAAAAACGCATGTAATTAAAAAAAATAAAAAAACAAAATAATGCAAAAACTATGCAAAGCGCGCAATATTTGTTTCAAGTTCCTTTTTTTTTCTTTTTAATTTATATTTTTCACAATATATTTTATATTTTCGTTTTTAACTTATTTTCCGTTTTATTTTTATTTACTTTTTTGTTGTTTTATTTTTTTTGCGGAATCGACTAGCTGTATAATATTTATTATGTTGCATAAGTTGTTGTTGTTGTTGTTTTTTTGTTTTTTTTTTTTTTTATTGTGGCAAACAAAACAAAAAGTAAATATATTTTTATATATATTATTCTGTTCACACATTTTTGGCAGCTAATTAAAAAGTGAGCAGCCTGCCGCGAGCTGTTGCCATGGTTAACACACATTAATTTGTAGTTAAAAATCACTAAGTAACACAGTTTTTGCATGCGAAAACCCAAAAATCTGAAAGTTTGTCTAGCTAGGCAAGCACACTCCTCCACACACGCACACGCACACACACGCACACTCGTACACACACTCGCTCAGACAGAAGCGGGGGCGTGCATGCTCTAGCCATAAGTACACCAGGCAAATTATCTAAAATTTACTAGCTGTTTTATATGCTTGCATAATGGTCTTCATGTTTAGTTTTTTTTTTTTGTTTCTTTTTTCCGGCCCGCCCACTAACACCCCAGGCCCACCCTATGCCCCATGCCCCATCCCACCACATGCAACACCCAGAGTGTGGGATTTTGTCTTCTTATTCAGTTGTTGGCTGTTGCGGCTTCTGCTGCTGTTGTCACTTGGTTTGATGTATGCGGTAGAGTTTTCATTAGCCTGGTCGGCAGCTGCTCCTCCTTCTCCTTCTGCTCCTGCTCCAGCTGGTCCAGCTGCTCCTTGTGCCCCTCCTGCTGCATGTGGTTTGTTGCGTTGTAATTTGCTGTTGACGTGAAGCTGTCGCCTTCTATAAAATCAACTGTTTGCCTGCCATCCATCATTGTGCTTGGATTGGCCCAAGCTGCTCCAGACTCAGGCTGGACGTCTGCTCTGGATTGTTTTGACGTGAAGAAGGCTGCACTTGCTGTGGCTGTTATTTTCTTGTTGTTTTCCATCGGCTGGTCAGTTGAACTGCTTTGCTTTTCACCTGATGACGGCGTCCTTTGAGCTGGTAAATTATTTGCTAATTGCTTTGCCAAGGCTGGCAGCTGCGAGGACTTCGCTGTTGTTGTTGCTGTTTTTGCTGTTGTAGTTTCCGCCGTATCCGGCATATTTATAATATCCGCCGCAGTAAAATTTAGATTTTTCAACATCTTAGGCATGTCAGCCTGTCCCAGATCCAAGTCCTGCGCCAACGACTGCTTGTCCTGGGCTGTTTCCGCTGCTGCTTCTCCTGCTTCCCCTGCCGTAGTCGTCTCCTGCTCTGTTGCTCCTGCATCATTGATGCTGTTTATCATCGTTGTTGTTGCTGCTGCTGCTGCTGCTGCTGCTGCTGGCGCTTGGCTTGGTGCTTGTCCATGATTTGATTCGACATCTAAAATATGCAAAGAATGGCAAAGTTAGCAATGAAATAAAGTGAAAATAAAACAGGAAATGACAGGCGCGCATTACAATCTGCAAAACATTCGCTCGGAATTGAGAAATAATTTCATATTATTGTTAACATACAAAAAAAAAAACCCCCCAGACAAGGGGATAGAGTTGGAGGTGGGCTGGAAGATGGGAAGGAAGGTGTTCCGCATGGGCGTGGGCTGCACAGGCAGTTCGCATTTATATTTTATATCGTTAATATTGACGGTTTTTTATGTTCGAGTGCGCCGCCTCTTTGACATTTATTGCCACTTTTTTGTATAACCTTCTGCCTAAAAAAATCTCACTAAATGGGCACCATCAGGTTGTGCATATGTATGTTGTTACACTATAATTGTGATCTGAATGTAGAGCCCAGTTCAGCTGGAATTTTGCATTGTGCTTTAGAAACTTGTGTTAGCAAGATATGATTGTATAGACCTTAAAGCTTTACCATTTACGCCAAGCTATGCAATTCTCATGGTTTTAAATAAAACCTTAGAACCATCTCTCCTCCTTACCCTCTCTCTCACTTTCTCTCTGGTTTCTCTCTCTTTCTCCTTTTCTCTCAGTCTAATGTGACTCTCTACCTTTCAACCCCTTCAACTTCCTCTTTTAATCAATCGCTAGCTGCAAGCCTTATTTGTATTCATGAAAATCGCATAGAAGAGCGATACATTTTGACATATTGATTATCTGATTTACTTCGAAATTATCCTTCAGCTATGGTTCACAGGTTTGCATTTGGTGGATTGGATAATAGTAGCATAAATAATATATAATTAACTCCTTAAACTCTCTTTTCCTATCAATCGCTAGCTGCAAGCCTTACATGAATTCATGAAAATCGCATAGAAGAGCGATATGCATTAGAGCAGTATTTCAACATATTCATTATTCAACGTCAGGTGTTCTGATCTCTTAACATATTTACAAGGTTTTACTTGACAGTTCATATTTGTTTTAAGGGGATTAATATAACATAATAATATATAATTCCGAATTGGAATAATACAAAGTACAACTGTCATTAGAAAGAGCATCTCAATAATCTCAACTAACCTATTCTCGTTACACATATTTCAACGCAACTTAAAGAAAAGAATCCCAACAAATAGAATGCCTCTTGCCTGATTTGCCCATCAAAAATGAAAGGGAAGACAGATAGTCATATCAGAGAATATTTAATCGTCCGCAAACCCACAGCGAACGGTTTAAACTTGTTTACACATGCGAGACTATCAGAGATTTGTGTACATTTTTTTTGGGGGGGGGGGTTCTATTTTTTTTATTTGGTTTCGCCCTGGTTTATTTTGTATTTTTTGCTGGCTGCGTTTTCGAGTGCACCTGAAACGAAATATTTAAATTTATCTTTCGGCTGATTGCACAGACGATGGTGCACAACGTTGGCAACAGTCACAGTTATTTGTGCCATTAGATTGCGGGCCAAAAAGCTTTAAAGCCGCCAAATTGAGCGCAATGAAGCGTGTGCAAGGGTTTCGACAAACAGTGGACAATCTATTTACATAGTTGCAGACCGTCTCTGAGTGACCCAGTCAATCAGCACAGGAGGCACAGCCGAACAATGAGAATGCGGGCGGCGAGTCCCAGGCCAGTATCTAGTGTTGTCTTAGCAGAAGGAGTTACCAAGGTTACACATTCCAATTTAGATTTTACAATGAACTAAACCCTAACCCTGGTATTCCTTTACAAATTTGATGAAACAACACCCGAAGTGAGGCAAAATATTATCTAGACTTATTTGAATTAGAGTAAATATGCATTATATATAGTTAACATCAACACATAGTACAAATACATATATAGAAATACTATTTATTAGGGAGATAAATAGCTTGAGCTCTAACCCTTGGTCGAAGCCAATTTTGGGTAGAGATCTAATCTAGCCCCCATCGTGCATATGAAAATAAATGGCATTTGCAGTATTTTCAGTACAACGGGCAGTTGTTAATTTAACAAAATTTGATTCATTTAAATTAAAATGAGTTTAATTTAGGTTTGAACCAGAACCTGGGTTAATGGATGTGCAAAACCAGCTCTGTTAGTTAAAATAATAATAATAATAATAATAATAATAATAATAATAATAATAATAATGATGATAATAATAATAATAATAATGATGATGATAATATTAATATTAATAATTATAATAATAACAATACAATTAATAAGTAATAATACATACTTATATACTAAAACATATATTAATAAATATTGCAGTGAAAATAATAACAGTATTTAGATTAGTAATAATTACCTTCAGTTGTTGCTGTTGTTGTTGTTGTGGGCGTTGCAGCTGCTGCTGCCGCTGTTGCTGCTGCCGCGGCCGCGGTTGCTGCCGCCTGTGCAGCTGCCGTTGCTGCCACTGCGGCGGCTGTTGCTGCCGCTGCTGCAGCCGCGGCGCGTGTCTGCAGACCAGGTATATCGGCCACATTGATGCGCTGCAGCCGCACATGCATCATCTGTCCGTGGCCGTGCCCCTGGCCGAGGAAGACGCGTCGCTCGGTGGCGAACTGGTCGCGTCCATGCAACCAGGCCCCCACCAAAGGCAGCCGCCTCAGATTACCCAAAGCATTCGCCAGCGCTGCGCTGGCATTGTGCGCCGGTTGCGCGATGGCAACAACTGCCGCGGCGCCCGGCCCGGCGCCCGCTGCGCCTACGCCAGCGCCTCCCGGCTGGCCCTGACGTTGTGCGGCCAACTGGCCGAATAGTCGCATTACAATCACGCGCGCACGTTGCAGCGCCGCCTGCTGACCAGGAGCTGCAACTGGAGCGGCGCCAGCGCCGGCAGCTGCGGCATTGGGTTGATTACGCGTGATGATGAAGACATGACGCTGGGCCATAATCGCAGGCAGCTCATAGCGATGAAAGAAGAATACCATCGAGTGCTGAAACAGAGAAGGACAGAGACAAATATATATAGAGTGATAGAGAGAGAGAGAGAGAGAGAGAGAGAGAGAGAGAGAGGGAGGAACACGAATGTGTTATGCAATGGAGCCAGGGCAGTTGTCAGGCACGTGACGGGACGCTGTCTACACGTGAGTCCACCGTCAAATAGACAGGCAGACAGACAGGCAGGCAGGCAGGCAGACAATAATGCGCTGGGTAATTTGTCATGCAGTTGACAGCCAGAAACTGGCTCCAGTTGCGCAACAACAGCAACAACAACAACAACAACAACAAGGTGAAATGTTGCTTTCATAATGCAGCATAGTTACCTGGATGAATAGATAGGAGGAGAGCAGCGCCAGGCTACGATATTGTCCACTGAAGCGATAGTGATACGCATAGAAGGCAAAATGATATAGGTAGAAGAATCTGTAAGCAAACAACAAAAGTTTGGGTTAACACACACACACACATATATAGAGAGGTACACACACACACGCACACAACCCTTACCCTTATCAAAATATGGATTCGTCTAGGTATTTATGTGGCATGGGGCATGATTACCATTCAATAATATTGCATTTAACATTGCTCAAATAAAAAGCAACAAATTATTCGCTTCTTACACATTTTATTGCTGCCCATCCTCAGCCCGCTTAGCTGTAAAGAAATGGGTCAGACAGCCGGACAGACAATCGGACCGTGGCATGACATAAGTAACGCCTTGAACTGACAACAAGCACAACAATAACACTTACAACAATTGATATAAATGACGGACTAATGTGCTACGCTGCACGACGCTGCGATTACCCTGTATTTGGTGGAAGCGTGAGAAGCGTTGAGAGAAGTTAGCAAATACTTGATGCAGGCGAACAAAGCTGCTCTCTTCTCTCTTTGACTTAAGGGAGAGAGATACCAGTAAAATAAGTCTTTGTCTGTCGCTTCTCTCTTTGCCATTCTTATTAGTTGCTTCTTCCTTCTGCTTAATTAACTTCCTTTTTCTATGCTTATCGAACCCTAGAACAACACTTATTTGACTTGATTTCCACATTGCTTCTCTAATCGCTTCACTCTGCATTTCGTTACTTATGGAAAGAGTCAAGTGCTCGTCGCTTATCTCTTGTGAAGACTCAGTGTAGCTTTACGTCTTTTGCTTCATGATTTATGATTTATGATGATGATTTCCAATTTATTTTCGTCACCTTCTGAACTTCTTTCTCTCCTAAAATGCTGTCTTTTAATGCTTTTCGCTTTAGCCTCTCTCAACCCGATCTGGCCATAACGCTTTATAGACACTTTTTCGTATGCCTTCTCTTATGATTTCCCTTTCTTCTTGCTTCACGCATCTCATCTGCTTTTACCAGACTTCTCTCTGCTTCGCTCTTATACAAGAGATTAGTGTAGCTTCTTTAGATTCCTTTTCTCTTCGATTTTTTCATCACTTCCCGGCTTTTGTCTCTCTTTTGTGATAATTAAGCTCAACTTAGCCTATTATTGGCTCGATTTCCATTTCAAGAATTGGTATTCACATTAGAGATTGATAATAACTAAAGAAAGACAGTTGCTGCTTTCGTACAAATTAATGTAAGAGGCTTCCCCAATAGGCTTAATTGCTGGGTATAACAAGAATGGCGAGGACACTCAAGAGGATTTAATAATATAAATAATTGCTGGCGCTGTGTTAGTTAGAATTGTTGTTATGCAGCCGAAAGACAACAAATAATAAACACAATGAGCGACACGCAGCGACGGCAGCTCATTGATAAGGAGCAGCAGCAGGAGCAGGAAAAGGAAGAAGAGCGGGAACGGGAACAGGAGCAGGAGAAGGACATGACCATAAGCAGAGGGTCGTGTCTAGAGTGTCCAGCGGAATTCAAGTTTAATTTATTTTTACAATGCCGCTGGACGTTGGACATTGGGTGTGGGTGTGGGCGCGGGATTGGGCATAGCCATGATTGAGTTATGTTATTGAATTTAATTTGAGTTGATTGTGAACACACACACATACACACACACAAAGGCACACACCCTTATACACACTTAAACGAACATCAGAATCGACAGCGACAAATGAAGACACACGACACTTATTTGGCTCGCAAGCCTTTCCAGTGGGTGGCCCGTGGCATGTGGCATGTGGCATGTGGCAGCATTATGGACACATCGTGCCAAACGCTTTGCAGCAATTTCCGCACACCCCGCACCCGGCACCCGCAAGGACCTCACGAAGACAGTGAAAGCGAACGACACGTAGACAACACTTATCGCTTGTTCGTTTCCGTTTCATTCGTTTTCCTAATGTAGCGTAGCGTTGACAAGCGCCAAGCGGGCGGAACAGGCAGCTCCTTTGCCACCATCCCCTTCCCCTTCTCCACCGCTTGCCACTCCCTCTCCGCCTGATGCCACAGCCAGCGGCGTGTCGCAACGGATGTGCGCCAAGGAAGTGCTATTGGCATTCATATCCTTCGACCGAACGGAAATGAGGGCAAATGATGTTGCAGCAGCGACAGACGTCAGAGGGCTGGGGGATAGGGGGCTAGCTTACAATAGAGGGGGGGGGGGGGGCGGGGGCCTGTCAAGACAACTGTTGCATGTGTGTGAATGTGTGGGTGCTGCTGCTATTGGCAGCGTTGCATGCTTAAATAAGCAGAGCCCCAAAGCAAACAACGCAGCAGACAAACCAGCAGGTGGCAGGTGCGTCAGTGCAAAGGGGCCGAGGACAGCAGCACGTTGCAGGGGCATATTGCTCGGGGGCAAAAGGCAACACTGATCCGATCGGTGCTGTCACAAGTGTTTATTTGTTGCCAGCAAACACAGACACAGACGCAGCTGGAGCTGCAGCTGCTGATGAAGGGTGCAGCCGTTGCCAGGGATATATTCCTCATATAATGGTTAAAGTGCTCAATGAGCTTGCAAGCACTCGAGTCACACCCACACACTCACACACACCCCCAGGAGGAGCGCGCACACACACATCATTTGCATATTGGATAAGCCGATTGGGTGGAATGCATATGAATATTACGATGCTGGCCAAATGGTTTTGCTGCATTAATCCAGACGATTTGGCTAAAGTGCAGCGATAAATACGCGTACCTGTTCCAGCAATCGATTAGATTCCATTTCTTTTCATATATTGAATATATACAATTTACGCAGCTTAAATGCAATAGGTTTTGCCTCTAGATAATGCCTGCCTGTTATTTCACTGTTAGATCTCTGTAAAGAATCTCGTAATGTTACTGCTAATTAACAGCTATGTTGGCTGTTTTGGTTATTGTGACCCGATCGTTGTGGCTGCATACCAAATCTGTTGCCTACTTTTCAGCTGCAAACACACTGTTAACGTCTGTGACAGTTTGTTAACGCTTTGTAGGCCATTGCAAAGATTACAATATAAAACAAATTAATTTCGTAATGCTTAGGGAATTTGATATTTATATGTAAACACGTGTTAGTCATTCGCAACTGCTTTTTTAACCAGCTTCTGCTTAACATTCCGGCTACTATTTTGTATACTTTTAAGTTTGCAGCATAAGAGAGCGCTCTATTAACTTATGTTAATCTGTATTATACAATGCCTGATGCATTCAGAGCTGTGCCGTTCAAAGCGTATTCGTACATAAACCAAGCAAATATGATCCCATCTGTGTTCTTGGCAATTGAGCAATGAATATGACTCTATTAAGAATAAAAACCTGACATCCCTGGCCACATAACATGCTCACATGTCTTTTTACGTAAGTTTCGTATTATATTAATATAAGTTAATTGAAAAATTGTGATGCTCATTTGAGACTTTTAATGATTCTCAAATTACAGCAAATGCGTCACAGCGCCAAACTGTGTTATATAAATCGTATTAGTTATTATTTATTCACAATGGGAGAAAAATAATTAAGTTTCGAAATCGGATATGTTTCATAACTCGTGCTATTGAGACATATTATTTGTGCCCCCTTCGTTTGATTACGCACAACTCTATCGAATGTTATGCAAGGTCTCGAATTGAATGCAATTTTTAGAAGTGCAATCAAAAATATCAATTAACACACACACACACACACAAACTCAAACACGCACACTCAAATATACACTCAATTGTTGTAAAACGTGAGAAAAGTTAACGTTATTTTTTTGGGGAAAATCTGATTCACTTAATTGAAATAAGTATAACAAAGCTGAAGTACAATGAGTGTGTCAGAGTGCGAAAGAGTCCGAGTGTGTGTGTGTGTGTGTGTGTGTGAGTGTGTGTATTCATTGATAAATGCGTGTAAACGATCCATTTTCATGCATAAATTGAAGCAGCCGCCGCGCGGCGTCGCATAGAAGGGCACGTTGCGCATACGCCACGTTGGCAAACAAACAAATAAATAAACAACAAACAAACAAAGAAGCAAACAAAATAAGAGCCAACAAAAAAAGAAAAAGCATAATAATAAAGGAGCAAAATGACAAGAGGAGAGAAAAGCAAACAAGCTGAAACTATAACGCGTATAACAATGAAGCGATTTTGCCTCGTTACGAACACTCATCAACTGCACCTTTGAACAACAAGAGCGCCCAACGCTGGTTGGAGAGGCGGGGAGTGGAAGGAGCGGGGTATGGGAGGCTAGGTGACAGGCCAAAGGATATGGCAAGCCAGAGGCCAGGCCACTTCAGGCGGCGGCGTTCGCATTGGGTTCGAGGCGTTGGCTCGCGGACAAAAGTTATGGCAGCAAAACAAACTTGACGCAATTATACTTTGCGTAACATGATCTCAATCAACACGAAAAACAAGGACCAAACCAAGGGTGGGGCAAGGGTAAGGCCCGCGCAGGGCCTGGCGGTCGGGCGGGGGGGGGGGGGGAGTCAGGAATGTGCTGCCAATGGTTGCCAATGCCTTCGACATTTGACGTTCAGAGGCCAAACGCGCCACCTTTTCGAATACCAAGCTGAAGGAGCTGCGGAACCCGAAAGAGAGGCAAGTCTGCTACAGCAGACCGACTGCTAAATACCCTCAAAATGGTTCGACTCCCATATCAACATTTAACTCATGTCTGTCGCATGTTAAAAATGTTGTGTATGTAAAGTACATTTTTGCCTTTAAGAACATATCTCACCAATCTCGCATATCTATCAACATTTCTTACATTTGGAACGAACGAAATATTATATAACATTTCTTAAATATTTTGCGAATGTTCCAAATGTATAATATGTAATCTTAATGTATTAATAATGTTTATAAATGTACGCAATGTTGAACAAAGTGGAATCAGGCTTTCAAGTTATTAAACATAGTAACAGATTTGCCGATTTGTGAGCAGAAAAGAGATATTTTTTGCATACAAGAACTTCTTCTACAACCAATTCATTCCTTAGATTCTTCTTATGATATATATATATAGCAAATTTTAGGCGCATAGTGAAGCTCATAAATGTCAAGTTTAAATAAAATTACTTAACGAACAAAATAGGTAGATAGATAGGTAACTATGTGATGTAGGGATACGCCTCGGCATATTCCGATATAAGAGCTGTCTGCAAAGTTAAAAGACGTGATCTTTAGAACTGGGAGAATTGTTAGTAACAGCCCGATGGAGCTGCCTATATTTCTAGATTCAGCAATATTGGCAGCTTTCAGGCGTAGCACAATTCACGACAGCATTGGAAATACCCTTAGCGAGTGCATAAAAGGGACTCCAGGGCGGGGTGGGGGGAGTTCAAGGGTTTTCCGTGGGGTTAACAAGCAAACAAATCTATATATACTTATGGCATAAATATATACGTGTATATATAAGAGTGTATACCTATATGTAAGTAGGTACGCATAACAAGCGTGTAAACAACAGGGCAACAGCAAAGGGCAGGGGCGGCGGGGGGGACGAAGGCCGGAGGGCGGTTGCGTAAGGTGAGGGGTCGCAGCTACTTGAAACGCGCGACTGTTACAATTTTGCCCGAGCTGGCAACTCGAACCCGAACCCGAACCCGAACCCGAACTTGAACCCGTAACCGCCCCGCCCCCCCCCCTCCCTTCCCCACCATTCACCCAACCCCTTTCACTTTTGGCCTGATAAAATTTGCTCTTTGAAGCCGCCAATGCCACGCAATTCCCAGATGTCCCATCGTCCGTTCGTCCGTCGGTTTGTCAATCTGCGCAAGACATCGTCTCGGTTTGTTGCTTTTTTGTACACTTTTGCAGCTCATTTAATACGTGTCGTCTGCCCCGTGCCGTGGCAACCAGATTTAAGCACAAAAGCAGCATTACGCGGCACAGGAAGCCGCTTGGGCCAAAGTCAACCATGGGCGGCCCTCGAAAGGGCTGCCAAATTATGCGCTCTGTACATTTTTGGCGCCTGCTCGTTAAACGGCGATTAACAGAATTATTTTTAAACGTGCTTTGATGCCACTTTAAAGTCGCTGACGGCAGTCAATTAGGGCCGCGAAAATACCTGAGCACCACGATCCGTACTCGCTCCATTCCACGCCCTGCTTAAGCTGGCGTGTGGAGCTGCAGCTGCTGCTGCAACGCTTGCAGCTTGGCGCAGAGCTTAAGCGGGGCTAATTAACGCTTGGTCTTTAAGCCAAACTTCAATCGCAGCTAACCGCAAACAGGCAACCAAAATGGCAGCGCACCAGACAGGAAGTTGGCTGAGTTGGAAGAGCTCTGGACATGGACGCTGGCGGCAGGAAGCTAACCCTATGTCGCCCCCGATCCAACCCTCCTCCTTTCATTGCTTTTCAAAGCAGGTCCCTTGCGTAACCCATAACCGCAGGAGCAGGCAGCACGAAAGGAATAAGTAAGAGTGCTCTAGTCGGGAGTGTACGACCAGTGGATATCCTGTAAATATTCTGAAGGTATGCTGAAGATATCCTCTCTAGGTTCTATCTTTATAGTCTGGAAATTTTCAGCCTCTAACTACTTCTGGCTTTAGTATAGGAGAAATATATATTTTAAAATTTCAAGTCAAGCTAAATAAAGTAGATAGATAGACATGGACGGACATGGTCAGATTAACTGGGCTGGTTCCTATCAAAAGTATATATGGTTTATAGCTTAGAGATTCTTCTTTCTGCCTGTTACCAACATTGCCACAAGAACAATATACCCTAGCGTACTGAGTTGAGGGTATAAAAAGCAAAGGCTATGCGGCAAGCGGCAAGGGTCGAAAGGAAGGCCCCCGCTTCGATTGCTTCAGGCGGTCAATAACAGCAAAATTAAACCGAACCAAAGTACACACGCCATACACACGCACACACACCACACACACACACACACACACACACAAGCACACAGGCAAACAAACAGGATGTGTGTGTGTGTGTGTGTGCATGATGAGCTCAGCCAATATGTTTTCGACTTTTTACAAAATTAATTTTTACTTGTGCCACTCTAGACGCTGGGCGTGGGCCGTGGGGGGCGTGGCAGGACACAAATCTGCATATGCCAGGCTCCGCTGTTGCCCCATGAATGCATTTCATGTGTGCGTATGTGTGGCCTAGCTTGGCAGCCAAAATGGGCTACAAAATTGCGCATTTCATAGGTAAACATATATTTTCAAAGAGTTCAGCAACAAGAGTAAGTAGAAGACGAAGAAGACGCTGGAGAACATCAACAAGAGCCCAAACTTGTGCCTAATACCCAAACATTTATGATTGCTTTGATTTCCAGGAAATGCCCATAAGGGTAAAGACTCCTGCTGCAATCAATATTTTATATTTAAATGGGATTTAAATAATTCACAATCGAGATGTTTTTTTATACCGATTAATTATCTATTTTTATCAGAACAAATAAAAATACCCAGAAAACCTAAGCTAAATGAGCAGAAGAGATTAAAAATAAAAGTAAAAAGAAAAATATTATGAATTTCTGTTTGTAGAGAATATTTCCAAGGGAAAAAAATATTTGTCAACCATTTTGCCCACATGTTATTCTCGCTAATTAGTCCTTTCACACTAATAAATAGTTTTTAATGCGCTTGGTTTTATATTTTTACTCTTTCTCCCCACATTAATACCTCTAAGCTTATTCATTGGGCATTTGCGTGCATTTGTATATTAAAGAGCTGACAAAAATAGTTCTATAGAACAAAAATGGCATTTAAATGAGATTCATGCTCGACGGAAAGAGTCCCACGGAATGCATTGTCATTAGTCTGAATTTTGAGAATCGCATAGAAAGGCGATGTTTAAGGGAGAGATGAAAAACTAGTGTGAGTCGGGGAAAGACGGCGGAAAGGTACAGACAGTGCAGAAAAGTGGGTACAAGAGAAGCAACGACTGTTAAAGAAAAGAAAAAGAATTATAACATAACGAACAAAAGAAGGGAATAAGCAAGCGAGGAAGCGATAGAAAGAAAGGACAACATAACGAGAAGAACAATAAGTGAGATACCGAAAAGGCTAGAGATTCCGAGATATAAGTGCAAGAAGGAAAGAAGTGCGAAAAAAAAGACTAGATGAATAAGTAAAAGAGGCAGAGACTAAGCGACCAAAAGGGAGCGAACGACTGCTAGAGAGAGAGAGACAGAGAGAGAGCATGTGCGATGAAGGAGGCAGTTGAGATGAGGAGGAGTTGAGCTGAGAAAGTCAAAAGCAAGGGTCATTTCTACATATAATAAATGCATTAATCAAATAAAAAAGTACGTTAGCCTTAGTCTGAGCCATGAGAATCACATAGAAAGGTCGAATTCTATTCTATCAAGTACATCTTTGATACTCTTGTAACTCAATTGTTGTGCTTAAGAACTATTTTAATTTTTATCGGCTTTTTGATATACAAATGCAATCAATTGCAGCCCTTTAGTATGGCTATTTAAATGCAATAGGGCATCTAAACGGTTATATGCCCCGTTCGCAGAAGATAAATCAGGGAAGTCGGATGGTTAACGAGGCCTTAAAATGTTCCGACTATATCATATTAAATATTACAATCGAGTATTTGTTTCACAGATTTGCAATTCCAACAGCTGTAAGACTCTTGAGTAGTTAGTTGCTTGCATTGCTGAGCAATTAAGTCCAACCATCGGCACCACAATAAACAGCTTGTTAAACACAGGACTTGGCCTGGGCAAGGGCTTGGGGTTGGGGGTCAATGAATGTTTAATGAACATAAATACGGCAGCTGCTAGAACCATGCCACTCTGATGTCCTTTTAATTCAGGCGCAAATTACGCAAAATCAACACCAAATTTGAGGAGCCGGCCGTGGAATAGTGATTGGTAAATGCCGGCGCATGAATTTCTAATGGTTGTAGCTCATAAACGGCAAACAGGGGCAGACGGACGAGCCGGGCCGGCATTGGCCGAATAAAGGGAATAGTCGAGTATCTGTTTGAATTATTGATGGGCGCAATGTTTGAAAAATCTTCACGATGATGATAATGATGTTGATGCTGTCGATGTGGATGTTGTTGCTGCCGGGGGATAGGGGCCCAGAGATTTACCAAAATAATTTCAAACTGTGCGCTCCTCAATTATGCAAAGTGCGCGCAATAAACCGCAAAGTAGCCCGCCCTCAGCTACTTTTCACTTGTCTTTTTTCAAGAGACGAGCCAGAACAAAAAAAAAAAACTGATAAAAGGGGAGAAATGGGTTTTAGAGTTGAGATTGAGTTTTGTATGACGTGCGTGGTCATTAATGTTTATAGAGGAGTATTCGCAGCTGCCCGGTTCTATATTCCTTTTTTTTTTGGTAGGTTTTCACTTATTCCATTTTGTGTTCGCAGCTATTACAAACAAGTTTATTTAAATGTTTGCTAATGGTGCGGCCCAGTTGGGGTTTGGTTTTTTTTTTTTTTTGGGGAGGGGCTTCGGGTAAGACACCGCCTGGGTTACGCTTGTTGACTTAAGTGATGAAATTCTGTGTTCTCTGTGTGCCGGCGGCATGCGGAGGGACTTTGGTGTTGTGTGTTGGTCGATTTGCTTTGGCCCCGGGGGAGGCTTGCACAAGCCAAGTTAATTTTCAAATAACAACCAAACGAAACGAAACGAGCCGAGCGAGCGCTGAGTGTGAAATACGCCCCAGCACAGAAGAAAGAAAACAAAAAAAAAATGCGAACAAAACGAAATGAACTGTTAAGTGCTGGAGGTAGCTCCAGCTCAGCGGAGCTCAGCAGCAGCCGGACATGCTGTCCGGACAGCAAAGGATTGCGACGGATGCTTCAACTTAATGTAATTGAATTTGTCATTTGTTCTTGGCACAGACGATTGCACAAACAAAAGGCGAAACTCTAGCAGCTGTCGGGCTACGCACCTGAGCCAATGGCGCTTCGTGATGCTTGTGTGACAGCAGATGGCATCGAATTGATCCGCGATCCAGACAATCAATATAATATAGAAAGCTGTTGTTGTATCATTGAAGAACTCCGACATAATGGCCTCCATGCCTGCCAAAAATAAAACAACGATTAATTCCATAATTCCAGGCTCTAGACTGGAGAGCTTTGCACACCTACTAGCGCCAATATGACCGTCAATAGGGGCGCAATGGGAAAGCGGGCGGATACATTGTACTCCAGCATTTGCAACAGATCCACTGTGAAAGGAAATGAGATTGTATTACATGAAAATAGAGCTAGATTTGGCCAGCCAATTACCTATGAACACAAAGATCTGATGATGCGAATAGCGCAACAGCATGGACACGGAAAAAGTCTGTAAGCGACAAACAAAATAATTAATTTAATTAATAAAGGGAACTGTGTTGGCAGACGTACAAAGAGCAGCATGACACAGAAAGCAGCTGGATAACTGCTCCAGGCAGCCCACCACATGGAGACGAAGCGGTAATGTTCGCCCGTTATCACGTTGCGCAGATAACCCTTATTCTCCTCTCGTTCCGCGACTGTGCGCACCGAGGCCATTAGCAAATCATCATAGCTGCAATTGGTAAAGCGAATTTAACAAGTTTTAATTCCTAGCTTAAGTTTCTTGATTTACCCCAGCAAACGCTTGAGCAGGTAACGCGTTAACCTGTCGCCGAAACAGGCATTCGTATTAGGATCCAGCTGCACCGTAAGCACGGGTATGTTCAGTCGCTTGCGTGTGGCAGCCGACAGCCGCAAGTGTCCGTACTCCAGAGAGTACTCCACAATATACTGCTCATCTGCAAGGCAAAGCGTATAGAATAACAATTGTAGATTAAGCATATAAAGGATTACGCACCATCATCGTCGTCGCCCTTGAGCGGTATGGCGCTGGGATGATCGTAGTTATCCAGTATATTGATGGCATCAAAATAATAATACAAGGTCTCGTTGCCGTACGCAAAATTGGGGCGCACGGGCAGGCCCAGTTTGCGCAGTATCGCCTCGTAGCGCTTCAGCCTGTTGTGATTGTCCAGCGTTTGCGGTCCCACGCCATAGTGGCTGCAATGGAATCAGGCATTAGAGAAAGGAACTTTTTGATTCAATGTCAAGACTTACTAAGTGTGCTTTAGGGCCAGCACCAGCTGCTGATCGCTCTTGATGCGCTGCCAGATGGCACGCTTCTCGGCCAGATGCGGTATTATTTCCACTCGTATAACGCCCTCGCGTGGCCAATTCTGCACATCCTGCAGACAGGTGCAGGGATTCTTAATGAAAGCCGTATGCACATAGACCAGGGTGAAAAAGAACACCAGAGCCTTGAGCAGCAGCAAAAACTCAATGGCAAGCTGCACCTTGCTGCAAAACAGACAGAAAGATGTGTCCAATTGGAATTGGGGAACTTCTAGATTCAAGTTTAACACTTACCGAGGCACTAGCTCCGCATAGGTGGCCGCCACACGAAAGTAAATGGCATGAAATAGGCGATCCCGCATGTTCATCATGTTGTTCTACAAAATGTTACAGATAAGCAATTAATGTGTGTTGTCTCTCTCTCTCTGTGTGTGTGTGTGCTTGCGTCTTACTTGGCCAACGCCACCTCCCACTCCGCCCACTCCGCCCGCGAGCACACGATTGCGCCCGTTGATGTTATTGATCGCATTGGCTACGGCTATTTCGGCCGCATTTTCGGGCATGCCACCAGCATCGGCCATGGCTGAACTCCGATCAGCAGCCGCCGCTTCGAAGGTGATTTTCAATCAAGTTTCTGGCAGCTAAAAAAAAAAACACTTCCGTGTCTTGAGGCGACCGTCTTCCGCACAACTTGTCTGCCTCCCCCGAAGGTGTCTAAAAGTGAATGTTTGCGCAGCTGTTGTTGTTGCTGTTTCTCTCGGTGTCCCTTGTGGCTTGTGACACCTGCGCTGCAATTCGATCAGCTGCTGTTGTCTAGTGCTTTGCACAATTATTGTATATCATAAAATAATCAAAAATTGCAACAAAAAGAGACAGGCACTGCTTACCATTATTGTGAGTTATGTTGTTGTCAGAGCAGAGCTGCCAACTCGTTGTGAATGCCAGGCAAGTAATCGGTTTTAGTAACGGCTGTTAACTGTTAACACTGTTAACAGGCAGACAATGTTAACGGTATGGAGAAAATGTTAGCGTTCGCGCCTTAAGTGTGATGTGCGCTTAACATTTTTATAACATAACTGTTTGCAGCATTAAACTTGTGAATGACCTTGCACTGGTGACGACACAAGCAGAAAGTGCTGCCAACTTGCTTGCACACCAACACATTTTTCAACACTGTTCACCAACAGCGCGCCAATTTGATTTGTAAGTGATTTAAAGCAAAATCAAAGGGAATGCTCTATGAAACGTTTTTCTTTTTATATTTTTATTTTCTGCAAACCAATGTACGAAATTAAATATCTCAATGCTTCTTCGTTCTCGCATATTATAAATAAGCTACATTGAATGTCGTTTAATTTAGTTTTACATTGATTGGTGGTTGTGATTTCTTTATTCATTTTACGCTTTTTGTTGTTTTTTTTCTTCACTATAGTTTCTCGATTTATATATATATATATATATATATTTGTATATATGTGTATATATACGCATATTTATTTTTTGCTTTGTCCATATATGTATATATATATATATAGCTACGTACGTAGATGTTATCATTAAGCTACAAAATCATACTCATAAGATGAATACAAACATTGTGTATTTGCTTTTGCATTTCTTGCAACAGGCTAATTTGCAGTATTTCTTGTTCTTTTTATGTTTGTAGTTAGCATTTAAAAATTTCGCTATGGGATTGTTAAATTGCTTATATGTTTTTTTTTCATTTGTTTTTGTTTTTTAAGTTTTAGCTAGTTGTTCTTGTTGATTTCTGTTGTGTATTGTAGTATAAATTGTTAAAAATCGCTCACATATTTCAATTCTGGTTCAGCGCGTCTTGGATGTGTGTGTGTGTGTGCGGGTGTGTGTGTGTAGCTTACGTATGTTTTTTGGTGTATTCTCGTTTTTATAAAAGTTTACATAGGCAGGCTTCGTGTGTGAGTGTGTGTGTGTGTGTGTGTGTGTGTGTGTGTGCCAACTTACAATCTAATACACGCTACACATTTATTAACTTACCATTTAATGAGTATGTCTACTCTGCTTCTTCTTTATATTCGCCTCAATTAACTTTTGTTTTTGTTGTTGACAGTTATAGAACTTTCAAGAAGTACAGAATGTACAGTTATAGGTTTTTCTTTAAGGTACAGCAATGCGAAAGACGAAAGTATTGCCAATTAGCGTGTGTGTGTACGTGTGTATAATTGTGTGTGTGTGTGTGTGAGTGTCTTACAAAAAGGTGGCAACTCTGCACACAAAGCGTAACGTTCACTTAAATCAAAGCGCTCAAAATGGACATAAAACATGTGCACACTCTTCATCTCTTTGTTGCCCATTTTCTAGATATAATATGTTTTTTTTTTTAGGCTCTTTTACGCAGTTTTCATTTTATAAATCTTTGCTAAAGTTATATATAAACTATTCCATTCTGAAGTATTGACAGTCACAGGCTATGTGAAGCATGCCTTGTTTTTTTTTTTGGGTTTCTTTCGTTACATATATATATATATATATCTATGAATGCATTTGTATATAATCAATATGTTTTGTATGCACTATATCGTATGTAGTATGGTTTACTATATTTACTTTAGTTACTTCTCAGCTCGTCTCTTGGCGTAAAAAAATTCCCCCAGCTAGAACTTGCTGCTCTTCTGCTCGTCTCCATTCTCAGTTGATTTTAAAAGCGTCTTTGTACAAACACAAACGAAATATACAATTTGTAAACATTTCGTTAATTGAAAAAAATAACATTTAAACTATTTGATATATCAAAAGTCTTGAGGCTTCTTATGTAAGCGCAGCGTTTCATAGTAGGCCTGTCTCCACATTGTGCGCCGTGCCCAACGTGTTCGGATCAAAGTTTAATTTCTCCCCAGCCAAAACGATCTCCGATATGCAGCCAATAATGCCACTCAAATAGCGCTGATGCGTAAAGTATGCCACATCGGGCATGCCACCTGAAATGGGCACAGAAATAGACCTTCATTTAGGAACAATTATTAATTTAATTTGTGCGGCGACCTACCAACATAGAGTCCGGTATCGGTATTCAATTGGCGCAGCTTGCCCGGCGCCCGTAGCGTCAGGGTCTTGCGTCCATCCACCTCCAGATAGCCCTCCTGGGAGTTTCTGCAAAAGAAACGATTCACTTTAGAGACATATTCAATTATGTTTTATTCAGTTTTTTTAACTAACCGTATGGCCCGAACGCGGTGCCAGAGTCCGTCGCTGACTTTGGTGCCGTTAAAGCGTATGTCCAACTCGCCAGCGCCCAGATCGTAGCGAAAATGCAAATATCTGTGAAATATAATACCATACAAAATATATAAATTAATCAAATTATAATTCAATGGGATCTATAACTGTTTGTGCTTGGCCAAATCGTCAGAGTTTAGAAAATATTTCGTTTACATTTATAGCGACAGCCCTGGCATGGAATTCCGCTGGTTCGGGTGAAAAATGAGTGGATTATTTTGTCAGCTTTTTATGGGAATCAAATTTAAACGTTTTATGAATCAAATATTTGTATAAGCTTAGGAAATGGATAGATGAAAGGTTTATTTTGATTCGATGTGAAGCCTCGAAAGGAAATCCACTGGGAAGGGTGAGAAATGAGTGAAATATCTATTCGTTTTTTATGGGAATCAAGTTGAAACCTATAATGGAATAAATGGCTAAGGTAAGAAATGGGCAGACATAAGTTACATTTTGATTTCATGGGAAAGCTCAAAGTAATCAATTTATTAAATACAAGTTTTATTAATAAGATCCTTGATTGACTCTGAACTAAACACAGACATCTATGTATCAATCTTGGGTGTTTTTTGCCACCCCTGGGGTATCAAATTGTTTACTGTAATTGTTTCACATTCTCGTACTTACCCCTGCTCAATGCCCAGCGACAAGTAGTCGTCGTGCAGCTCGGTTGTGCCCTGCCGTCCCGTCCATAGGATGACACCGTTCTCGGAATGCGTCTTGATGCGCAGATTGAGGTCAATGTTGTAGCTGATGACCTGGCTCATGGTGTCGGCATCGTTGTAGTGGAAATAGCTGTCGGTGCCGGCAAAGCAGGCGCCAAAATTCTTGCGCACGCTCTGCACCTGCGACTGATGTTCCGCCGACAGATCGAATTTCTTCAGCAGACTCCAATCGGTGTGTGTTTGCGGAGTGCTCGGAGCAACTGCAGCCGGCTCGGACTTGAGCACGGGCGTCAGCAGCTCATCGTCGCCGTAATCCTCGTACAGCGTCTCGGCGGGAAGGGGTGCGACCTGCTGCTGCTGCTGCTGCTGCTCCTGACCCTGCTTCTGGGTGTGTGTGGTGTGCGTGTGTGTATTGGACATGATGCGTTTCATGTCCTGGGCGAGCTGCTTGCGTTGATAATCCTCAGCACCGTCGGAGGCATCAAACAACGACTCGTCGAAAACAAAGCCACTCGCATCCCCATCTCCATCTCCATTCCCATCACCGTCCCCATCACCTGCAGCTTCAGCTGAGCTGTCAAGTGGTTTGCCCACTTGACTGGTCGCCATGGCATCCGCATACTCCTGCTGCTGGAGGCTGGCCACCCAATCGTTGTTATCATCAAATGTGAGTATATCGCTGTCGGGGTTTGTCTGGAAACTTTCATAGTGTGTGGGCAGGCGGCTAAGTTTGCGGGCAAACGCATTGGGCTTCTGGTGATGCTCATGCTTGCTCACATGCTGCTTGCCCAGAAGGGCCGGCTGCTGCCCCCCAATTGGTTTGGCAGGTTGTGCGGCATTGTCATGCACAAAGCGGAAAATGATATCATCTTCGATTTCATCATTGCTGGCTACACCAGCTGCTGCTGCTACTGTCGGGGGCGTCGTTGTGGTCGTCCTGGTGGTGGAGGGGCTGGTTGCAGGTGTCGTCGCCTTGTGCTTATGCAAATTCTTGCGCTTTGTGGCATGCTTCTTGTGCGCCGACAGTTTTTTAGACTCAACTCCTTTGTATTGTTTGGCCTGAAGTGTTTGGGCATTGTGCTGCTGCTTGTGGAGCATCAGCTCGGGCAGCTGCTCGGGCGGCACTTCAGCTGCCTTGTTGCAGCGCTCGTTGTAGATGCTGCAACGGCACTCGTAGCTCTCCATTTGTGGCACGCACTCGGCCAGCGGGCCGCACGGACGGGCAACACACGCGTGCGGGCAGTTGCCAATGTTGCTGCCGCCGAGCGCCTCGGCCACAATGCCCAGCGAGTGGCCATTGATGTCAATCTGTGGCACAAATTGCCTGGTTAGTCGACTTGACTTGAATATAATCACCCGAAACTTACGCGCTGTATGCAGCCCACAAAGAAGGACTTGTACTTGAGATCCAGTGGCAGGCGGTCCACATGATTGACCCCGCCCACAAATAGATTCTGCGCCAGCGACAGATGCCAGAAGCCGTTCGAGGATATGGTCATGACCTCCTGATGCTGATCGATCTGTGTGTGTGGTTGCACAAACAAAACAAAAGAGTTCAACATGCCAGTCAAGTTGAAAGCTTGCCCCTTGCTTTTGGCTTACCTTGAGCACGGCCAGGCGTGCGGTCCTTGAGATCTTGATGGTATGCCATTGTCCCAGGCTGAGCGAGTGCTCACTGCTGCTGGTCGAAAGTGGATGTGGTTAGAATGATTGACAGCCTCCTGCAGTGTGGAGTACTTACCGCACCATGGCTGGTCCGCTGCCCAAATCGAAAGCAAACTCCACAAAGCCTTCGTGCAAATACAAAGCTATAAAATCGCCACGCTGCTCGGGTCCAGAGTAAAGTATCAGGCCGTCTGCCTGCTCCGGCTTCAAGATAACCTTCAGCTCCAGCCAGATCAAGGCGCTGTCGCCCAGCGGCGCATAGCGCAAAAACGAGGAGCCATTAAAGGCTGGCACCTGAAATTCAACTTAATTAATGTCCAGCAGAATATGGCTCTCTCGCGCCCGCTCACCTGCAGATCCATGCGTATCTCGCACAAATCACCCACAAAG